CCTTTTACTGCAGGAATATCTATTACCCTACATTTAAAAAATAATTTTTATTTTTCAATTACAGTTGACATTTAATATTATATTAGTTTCAGGTGTACACTGTAGTTTACAGATGGTTGTTCTGTAGATTACTTGTATTTTTAATGTGGTTGTGTGAGGATTAGAATACTGCATTTACCTACACCACCATCTTGACCAGAAGACCTATTGCCCTACATCAAGCATGTCAAACTCAAAGGCTAACACAGGCCAAATAAATGAGGCATGTGGCCCGCAAGCCATGAGCTTGACATGCTTGCCCTACATTCTTAACTTGGATCATGTTCAGAGGCCTAAAGAACTGTCTGAAGTTTTATGACAATTTTTGTGTTGTGGTTATTTGTTATTTTAGGTCTATAGCTTTGATCAGATTCTCAAAATAATCTGATAGCAAAAGAGTCCATCCTCCAAGCCATGTATCCCACCAAAGTGACTTAATCATATCAAAATTTTTTCAATGCTAGATGTGATATATCTACTCAATTAAATCCCAGTAAGGAGTGTGTGTATGTGTGTGTATCCTATGTAATAAAAGCCTAATAAGCAAATTGTCTCAACCAGGAGTTCGACAGAGTTTGACTCCTCGCTATGATGTGCACTGACCACCAGGGGGTGGCGCGGAACATGGCAGGTGTCAGTGATGCAGGCTGGTAACAGGTGGCAGTGGGGGTGCTGCTGGCCCCAATGGGCCCTACGAGAGTGGGACTGTAGCGGGATGGTGGAGCGGTGGTGCCAAGCCAATGTGGGTGCGAGCGGGGAACCGATCACTGCACAGACAGCAACCAGCAGCAGCAGCAGAGGGCAGGGCTGCCGCCCAACTCCCAGGTGCTGAGGGAGTCAGGTGGGGGGCCCAGCCCCGATTGATCACCCCATAGGCGGGATGGTGGAGCTGAGGGGGCAGCGCTGACACTTCCATTACAGAGAAAGGGCAAATAGCAATATTAAAATATTTCTTCTAATTATTTTCCTTTCAATGTTCACAAATCCGTGCACCAGGCCACTAGTATATATATATAATTTTTGCTTATATATTTTTATTTTTTAATATGTATACACTCTAAAAGAATGGCACCTTTCATCTTAAACAGCATTTCAGATAACACAACATTTAGAACATTTCTTAATAGTGATAAATCAAGATAAATCAAGTCTGAGTAAAATATAGCATGACAATGTTACAGAAAATTTACATTTTAAATGGTCGTTTTCAGGGTGTGGATGAAAGAAACATTCTTGTCTTTTTGCATCATCTCCAACTATTTTTGTCTTAAGGAGAAAGAATGTTAACCCATTGGTCTTTTTTCCTTGCTGCGTTCAGAATACTATGTAAGTAGAGAACACTCCTTCAAGAGCAGGTAAAATACACCCCACCCTGGTTTTGCGAATGTTGTCATCAGGAACAGATGTTGAGTAATAGCCAGAGAAAGTCACGCTATAATGCTTCTACATCACCTGTTAAGATCAGCCAGGTACAAGAAAGGGCAAGGGAATGCTCTCTCCAGTCTTTTTTCTTTTAAATAATTCTTTATTGTTGAAAGTATTACATTTGTCTCATTTTTTCCCCATTGACCCCCTCCAGCCCGCCCCTGACCCCCGCCCAGGTCCTTACCGCCCATGGACACAGACAATGGGACTATTCCAGTTTTTTAAATTTATTATGAATGAAGTCTCTATGATCATTCATGTGCAGATTTTTGCATGGGTATAGGTTTTTATTTATCTGGTATAAATGGCCAAGAGTACAATTACTGGGTTGTATGATGTGGTTGGCAAAATAATGGTTTTCCAAAGATGTCCATGTCCTAATCTCTAGAACCTGTGAACATGTTGCTTTACATGGCAAAAAGGACTTTGTATATGTGAAAGAATTAAGGATCATGAGGAAGGGACATTTTCCTGGATTATCATCGTGGGCCCAAAGTAATCAAAAAGGGCCATTTTGGGAGGGAGGCAAGAGGGTCAGAGTCAGAGATATTAGAAGATACTACCCTACTGGCTTTGATGACAGAGAAAGGGGTGTGAGGCAAAGGATGCAGGTGCCTTGGGAAGCTGGAACATTGAGTCAGAGTCTCCCTGAGAGTGCCCAGAAGAAACACAGTCCTACTGATACCTTGAGTTTCACTCATAAGATCTATTTCTTACGTCTGACATCCAGAAATGTAGATATAAATTGTTTTTTAAAGTCAGTATGCTTGCGATAATTTGTTATAGCATCACTAGAAAACTGATATATATGGTAAGTAAATTTTTAGTTTTAGAAGAAACTACCAAACTAATTTTCAGAGCGGATAGTTCTGGTTTTTTTTGTGTGTTTTTTTTTTAAAGGTTTTACTCTTTACTCAAGAATCAACACATATTTTACTTCTTTCATAAAGCTTATTCTTATTTATTTGAGCAAACCTGAAGAAACATGGCTGGAGTACAGTGCACAAAGGTGGAAAATTGTAGTGGATGAGATCAGATAGATAAGCAGGGGACAGATCAGTGAGACCCTCATAAGATAGGATAAAGTGTTTAGATTTATCCATTGCGTAACAGGAAGCCACCAGAAGATTTCAAACAAGGGAGGGGCATATGATTTATGTTTGAAAATGACCACTCTCATAAGTAGAATGGTTTGGAGCACAGCAGTAATAGAAGAGGGAAAACTAATTAAGAAAATAATGCATTGACTAGGTCAGCAGTAGTGGAGTTGGAGAAAAGTGACAGATTTAGGATTTATCTGTAGGATATAGGCCATAAGATTGCTGCTAAATTGGCTATGGGCATGAAGAAAAGAGGGGTTCTTGATAACCAGGGGATGGTGATATCCTTAACTTTGGAATATTATTACTTTGGGTATATGGTGCTGAGAGGGAAGAGATGTAAAATAAGTCATGATTTATGTATTTGAGTAGAAAAGTTATCAATGGACAATTAGAGGTTGGTTCTAGAGACATAAATTTGGGAGTGATTAATTAGTGTTTCAGTTTATGAGCTTGGATAGGATTCACCTGGAAGAGTACAGTTAAAGGAGAGGGGGAACAAAATACTTGAATTTATAGATATAATCGGATGAAGAGTTTTAAAACTATCTGAGTAGTAGCACTCTGTGAAAGTAGAGAAAGACCAGGAGAGGATCAAATCAGAAGACAATTGTGTTAAATGCTACTGAGAAGTCAAACAGATTAGGAGGATGGACAAAATTAGTTAAGCTGTGCCAGTTAAGTACAATGGAAGGAGGGAGTCATAATGATTGGCAAAGGAATCTGAGCTAGGTGCATAAATTAGGAAATGTGGAGTTAATGGGGTGAAAAATACTGAAGTGATGAGGGTGATGGGTCAGGAGGCCTAGTGAAACTAGAGTTAGAAGTTAGAGTGGGAGTACTCAAATAGGTGAGCTGTAGGTGTTGGTAAAAAAGGAGGATACTTGAAATCAAGATTTGGATAGTAATTAATGATGATGAGATCAAAGTATGTATGACCTTGGGAAATACGCATCAGAGGCATGGAGAAGGCTAAGGAAGAAAGAGGCCAGGCAGAATGGTACTATGTGGTCCATTTGGATATTGAAATTATCAAGATGTCAAGAGTAGGGAGAGTACAACAAAAGCCAAAGAGCCAGGTATCAATGATTTGCCCAACTAACTGTAAAATCTCCCTCTTTAAACTTCCTTTTTAATTTTGTACTTTCTTAGTAATCCTTTTCTTATTCTTTGCTTTTATGTGTTTTTTTTCCTTCTAGATTAGGCATTGAAAACAAGTTTTTTGCTATATTCTGTAGCATGAAGCACATGTTTTCCATATGATGTGGCAGTGAATAAGATTATAAATAGTGATCCTATGAAGCCTCTGTATGACTGAGGGCAGAACCACTTCATTAAAGGCCAGTCTAGTTTGGAATAGGTGGCAAAATACAAAACAATGGTTTACTTTAATATAACCCTTTAGAGAAATCATACGCCATATGACAAAGATATATAGAAACAGTCCAAATTTATTTTAGAGGAGATTTTTCAATTCTTTAGTATAAAAATAAACAAACTTATCTCAACACTTGTACTTTACATAAATTTAAATACAGTCTGAGGCACCAAAACATTCACATACACATTCTGAATTCCTGGGTTCAGACAGCAAGTTGATGTTAATAACAACTTAGTTTTTAAGTTAGGGAAGTTAACAGTTTTTATGCAAGCCCTTCTAACATTGACTATTTCTTTTTCTAACCTTTTAAACATAAAATCTTAAAGAAAATTCCCTGAGTTATTTCTCTTTAATGAGATTTCATCATTTCCCTCTACCCACGAGACATGCTCTTAATTAATTACATAAATACTAATGTTATCCATAATCAGTGCTTGATTAAAAATATTAAAATCTACAGTACTTTGACTAATGTCTCTTCAATAAGTTATAATGGAATGAATTAATGTAGCATCCACCGGTCCTTAAAAAACATATAAAAGGTTAGTTTTATGGCACTTCCAGGCTGATAAGACACAGACACAATGTTCTGTGGGCTGGTGTATAGATGAATCTTAATGACATAAATTCCAACCTTATAACTCAATGTACCACAGCTGGGTTCCTGAAAATTAATTCACATCTTAATCCAATAATTTCTCTTGTAGTTTTCAAAATTCAAAGAGGTAATCCCAAAGAAGAGATAGCAAGGCTTCGACCCAGTTTATAACAATAATGTCCTAACAAAACATAAATAATAATCCTCAATAAATTAAGTAATGTACAGTACCAGAAAATGTCAGCTGACAATGAGATGTGGATAAGAAGAAGCATTATCTTCCTGGGAACTATTCAGGAATAGTGTGCTTTTGTTTTTAAAGGAAAAGGACATTCCTTAGAGTAGGAATATAAAGCTCTTCTTGTCAAGAACCCCTTACAGTTCTTTCTAAGTCTCTTTGTAGCTTCTTCAGTTACACATAGTTAAAATTAAATATAAAGTTCTCTGTCTTTCACTGAACATGTGAGCACACCTTTTTATCAAGGCCTTTTTTTTTTTTTTTTTGAGAGCTTTTGTTTTCTTTTATTCTTCTTAAGAGGAGCTAAATAGTAGTCCTGAGCTGAGGTTTTCCTGAAAACTTGCAGAAGTTCAGATAAGAAAATATAGGTAGAGTCCAAAGAAAGATGAACTCATATCTTGAAACCAGAGAAACAAAATAGAAGAAGTAAACTGATCAGAAGAGCTCCTCTTAGCAAAATGGCTAGAAGAAAATCAAAGGACCAGTGTGCAGGTAGTTGCTTCCAATGTATCGTGGAAGATACACTGTAAGAATCGGAATGGAGAAAGAAATGTGCAGCATTTTGCCATCTTGTAACAGCATTTAAATATTCAAACGTCTTTGCTGTGGCTCTTACTATAAGTCTAAGCTGAAATTCAAGTAAAAAGATGTCAAATGACATGTTTTTCCCTTTAACTCGGAGAAAAGACATCTTTAAATCATTGACACAAAAATCTTCACAAGGATAGACCCCCTTTTGAAGTTAAGTCACATAAGGAGTTTAGTATAAATATTAAATAATTAAAAGAAATCATTCATATAAATAAATAAATATGATCAATAGGCTTCTACAGTTCAGCTGAACGTCCTTTTAGTAGTACGGTAGGATTGATATCCTCCAGTCCAGAGTGGGAGGGGGTCGCATTGATGGTGACTGTCTTGGTGGGCTGTGGGTCCCCAACACTGAACGAAGTAGAGGGGCAGCCTTTCACGTTATTGCAGATGAGAGACTGAATGGAGGCAGTGTTGATGATTTTAAAACCCACTTCACCGCCAAAAGTGCTAGGCTTCCAGTAGTGAGGAGAACATATAGGATTGCCCATCAGTCCTTTCAAGGAAAAGGGGGCTCCAAGTTCTACCATGGTCTCACCAAAGATGCTATCTGGGCGAGGCTCTTCTACCAGAAGGGCAGGGTACAGCTCCATGGCGTCAATGTCACCATAGAGCGCTTCTAACTCCGCAGCCATTTCCTTCTCTCCTGTGAAGGTGACAGAGACAAGAGACACAACCGATGTAAATTTTTACAAAATGCAACAAAATAGTTTTACCCCTTTACTCAATCTGCTTCCAACTTCTGTGTTGTTTGCACTAGGCCCTTTGAATCTTGTCAGCTTAGAAACACTCACCTGTAAGTTCTTCAAATGATTCATAGGGCTTCATCCGAAAGCGTTTGCGGTACTCGTTCAGAGGCTGGTATCTCATGTGTCTGCTCTGCTCAATTGAGGCCTTGGCTACTTTTCGTACTGCAACGGGAAGATTTCGACCACCAGCCACCTGGGGAAAAGGAATTACATTATAAAACAACGTTTTCAGGCATATTTACAATTTCTATCTTAAAAGCCTTCCTTGGTACAAAGTAACTAAGACCTATGCTCCCAACTGAGACCTAAACTATTCAAGTTTGAAATGTTCATTTCTATAATCTTCAAGATTATAGAAAGTTTTTAAAAATACCTATAGCTAAGGTGTGATTACATGTTGCCATTTGATAACTGTAGACTCAAAGCTTTGACTTTTCAAAAAATGTTAGGCTTCTTATTTCTAGAAGAGAATTTAATTAGCAAACTATTTACTTTTCTTTAGTAAGTAAACAGACTAGTCCTCTGTTTTATTTTGTTTTTCAATAGTAATGCTTACCCTGCCAGCATTTTGCTTGCTGAATGATTCAACAAACTGGGTAAGCCCATGTTCCATTAATAAAGAATTGTTGTAGAGAAACTGTTGATAGCTGTACTCCTGGTCATCAATGTGAAAGGAGTCAGGCAGAAGGGGATGCCAGTGGTAGAGAGTGTTAAACTCAGCAGCGATGCGGTTTTGGTACTGGAATTGTTGGTTGAAAAGCAGCTCTGGGTCAAACTTCAGTTTGAAGTGATAGCCACTCAAGTGTTGTACATAGTCTTCAATCACAATCTTAATAGTTTCTCCTATTTGCACAAAATAAAACATTTAGAACATTAATTCTTTCTGATCATTAACTTTCAAGCAACCAAAATGAAATTTTGTTGATGTGCTATTCCCTCACTTCTACTTTTTCATTTTTACCATGAATACAAAAGACAGTACTATATTATAATCATGCTCATGGATTAAGTTAATATGGAGCATGTAATTTTATATTCACCACATTTCCCCCAGAATGACTTAAAACATAGCAAAGGTAAAGGACTCGTTTTCTCCGGGGAAGACTGTTGTATTGAAATTCTTTTCTTCTCTTCCTTACCTATCAGTATTAGCCTGCTTGTCTGGAACAACCGCTCATCATCCCATTCTGGATGCTCCTGCTTAAGCACATCACACACTCTGTTATGTTCGCGCAGCCAAATGGTGGCATACATCATCAGACCAGGCACCAGACCAAACACCTCCTGGCCCACGGCAAACCGCAGGTGTTCAGGGACATGAGGCGGGTAGATCATCTCAGCCTGGGTATCTTTGACTGTGGGAGGATATACCTCTCCATCAATTACCTAAAAAACAATGGTAATAAATAAACATTACCTTAAAAGTTAAGAAATACATTTCAACCAGAGATTTAAAAATATAGGCAAAGGGGTAAATCATAGCTAATTCTTAATGTTCAAATGGGACAAACCTGATATTTCAGTTTTCCATCCTTGAAAAGGCGCAGTTTATGCTGTCTATCCAAAGTTTCACCATAAACATGATTTAAATCCACCTGGAAAATTATTAAAAAAATTAAGTTTGCTGTTATTGAAGTTGTTCTTATATAAAGCATCCATGATATCATTTATTATTAAACAATTTGATGATTTAGCTTGCTTCAGTGAAAGATATTCAATAAAACACCTTTTTCATAGCCACAAAATACTAAGTTAATATGTTTATCTACTGAAGCGACAAACCTATATATGTCTCTTGTGTTTAAAGGCATTAGTATCTCCTATGCAGCTTATTAATATATCATATGCTTTGGTATAATGATATGGATATTTCCTTTAAAAGGCATTAGCAAATGTATTATTGATATAAAATTCTTAATAAATGAATTGAAACCCAAAATATAATGCTGCAAAAATTTCACCTTATCATATTTAAAGCAGCATAATCAGGGTACAAACATGTAGAAACATGTTTTCAAAGACATAACTTTGGCAGTGCTAATATTTTGAACTAAAAATATGAGCCAAATTATAAATATCTGTGTGTGTGTTTGTGTGTTTACTTAACCAGTGAGTTAAAATGAAACTCCACTAAAAATTTTATAGACAGGACACTTTTCAAAAAGAGGGTGAATTATTTGGTGTGGCAAATAAATACATGGTCTTCAATGTTAGCACCTCACTATGATTAGCTATATTTCTGATTTAGCTCTATCTTACCCCATGACCCAGTCCTTTAGTGAAAGCTGGTCCTCGCTTATGATCTGTCTTGAAAAACTGATGGGTGAAGTGCTGGGCAAAGAATGCAAACATCAAATTTGTGCCCTGGGGATCAGGAATGAACTCTCTTCTTATCATAAATTTATCCAGGATCATGTCTGAATCAGGAAGCTCTTTCTTCCCTGAAAAACGAGAAAGCCAAGAATTCATCCATATATTCAAGGAAGCAGATAGTATACTGTCAATTTACCAGGGTCTTCCTCCCTTACAGGAGAAATACAGTTGTGACCATGATCATAATATAAAGAGAGTTCGAAGACACCGGGAAGCAACTTCTTATTTAATAATTTTATCTGCTGTTTAACTAGTATGAGTCCAGTTTTAATGAAAGAATTCAAAAGCATTAAGATATTCCCTTTCATAAAATAGTCTACATGGACTCACAGTTTCAAAAAAATCTCCATAGATCTCCATTAAGAAAGGAAGAATTAGACTTTTATTAGCAAATAAATGATAATGTAGGGTCAAATGTTCTAAGTAGCAATCCACTCCTCCCCCCCACCCCTTCCTCCCATTTCAATGCATCTCTCACTGCCTCCTCTCACTCACCTTTCACACCCATGGGAGTCGGGCAGTCATCAGCCACAGGAGGAAGAGCTCTGGTATAATAGGAGAGATTCGAAAAGGCTTCCCAGCTTTTATAGCCGTAGTGTGCATTATATGTTGGTGGGCTGTCAATCAAATCTGATCTGGCTGAAATTTTCAAGAGAAAAAATTTTGTTTAATTTGTTCCCATATGCAAAGCAAATCAATATTCATTTTTTTTTAAATTGTAAAATGTGCAAAATAGCACCCGAGATTGAATTTAATTCCAACTATGATACTCTTTCAAAACATGTACACTTTCAATTCTAACTGAATTTAAAAGAATGATTCATTAAAATGCATCTTTAAGAAAGTATATATACTTTACACAAGACCAAATGGTCTACCATCTTGATTTTTCAAGTAACCATCCAAGAAGCTTGGGAAAGATGTGCAGAGTTGTCAGCAAAATTCTGACTGTGAGATAAAACTTTATAAACTGGGTGGGACTGAAATGTCTATATTTTTTGCCATTAAGATAGTAGACACACTAAAAAAGTATATTTAAAATCATTTTGACAAGGTTGGAAATATGTTTTTGGATTAGGTTTAGTAATCTGGCGTATTATAAAAACAATTTTTTTCCTTTGAGGAAACTGAAAACCTTAGAAAGATAATGTACTTACATGTCAACACATATTTCATAATTGCATTTCTCAGGAAGGGAATATTATTGATAATGTCCCAGACTCCCTTGAAGTGGGTAAGTATGTAATGCACCGTGTTTGGAGTGGGTTTCAGGAGTAACTTTATTCTTGTCATAAATTCAGCTGCAATGAGAGAAAAAAAGGATGGCGAAATTAATGGGGCATATTAGAAGATGCAAATCTGTAAAATGACAACTGTATATATCCACCTTCCAAATGAGGGCACCCAAAGGCAAACTTACGTGTTGAACAGTTTTCCCCATAGAATCCTGTTCGAGTACAGTCACACGTATACTGGTCAAATCCAACACTCATACATACACCTCGGTTTTGGCATGGGTTGGAACAGCAAGGATTTGCTACAATAAAAGTAAGGACAGTAAATAAATTGTTCTCCAGCATCTTAATCTTGACTTAAACATTTACTTGTTTTACTTCCTATGGATCAGCTTTACAATAATCAATTCTAGAAATATACAAATAGTCATGGGAAAATAATTTTTTTAAAGCTTGCCTCACAGAATGGTTATAAAGCAGTAATACCTACTTCCTATTCTAAATAAGGATAATGGATATCATGTTGCTAAGCTTTTTCGCAGTAACGTTTTAGATGTTCAATTCAGCATTAAGGAGATCGAATAAGTAGCTCTCTCAAAATTAAAACGGATAGATCTAGGGAAACTCGCAAAGTAAAAACAGCTTACTTTTAAAAACACTTTGCCCATCTGAAAAACAAAAACAAACAAAAACCTGGGCTTTCCTGAGACGGAAAGCACTAACTGGGGTATTTAAAACAATTGCTCCCACTCAGTAACAGTGGGTACCACACACAAGTATTCCACATCTATTGACCTCATCCTGTCTCATTAAAACGACAACCTGCAACTTAGTATCACTATTCCTATCGAGCAGTTGAGCAAAGAGACCCAGACCCATAAGACTGGTTCCTGATAATCAGAGCTGGTGGCAAAGGTGGGATATCTACCCAGTTCTTTGGCGGTCAAGTGGTCCAAGTTCTTTACAAAGTCTACAGAACGGGGCGCGGGGCGCCAGGTACCCACCTGCAGCGCGGAGAGCCAGGGCTGCGCAGAGCAGCAGGGCGCGGACGAGCATCTGTGCGGTGGGGAGCCCGGCTTGTGCGCTCAGACAGTGGATGGCGCAGGAGGAGCGCTGGATGGAGCTGGAGGAGCGCTGGATGGAGCTAGAGAAGCGCTGGCGGGATTCCTGGGCGTGCTCTGTGAGCGCTCTCTCGAGTCCTTTGACAACTGCAAGCTAGCGGAGAGAACCTTCCTTTTATGCGTGAAAACTACCCCACTAGCCCACGTGACGCTATGACTGGCTCTTTCCTACCCGCCCAACCCCCCCGCAACTTAAAAATTGCGTAAGACCCGGGTCAGGGCAGGATTACCCACGCAAATGACAAAATCAGGGACTCGGGAAACTGCTCTTTCTCGGCTTCCCCAAGGTGGGTGCAAATCCGATTGCTACCCCCTCGACCCCCCATCCCCACTCCTATCTTTACCCTTTACCCTCCATTCCTTCCCCCACCCCCATCCCCAGTTCCTCTGCCCCTGAGCTCGGGTTTGCGCCTTTTCCCAGCCTTAAGTGGCGGGACTAGGTAGTGGTTCGTCTGCTGGCAGGAGCGCCTGGAGGTTCCGGAGCGCACGTAGGGAATCCCCTCCCTCCCCCCTCCAGCGTCACAGCGTCACCGCCGCCTTGTCTGGGTCCCCAGGTCTTTGGAAAGCCTGGGAAGTTGCAATCCCGACAGACCCAGACAGGAAAGGCTGGCACGTTTTACACGTGTCATATATTTCAAACATGTCAGATTTGATTTTCATGACAACTTTTGACCTACTGTATAGGCAGCAATACATGCCTCTAACACTTTTAAGAATATTATGTAGCTGAATGAAATATAGTAGCTATAGTGAGTGTACATATCTGTAACTTCTCTTTTAGCTAAATTGTGTTTACCACAGGAAATACTGTTCTCCGCACCACCATCTGCTCCTTGCTTCTTGGAGAGGAAGGAGGTAAATCCCTCTCCACAAGACGGCTCCTAAGCAGTTATCCAGTAAATCCTCAATTTGAGCCGGAGATGTATTCCCTCCTATTTCCTCTCCTTTCAAGGGTCCAGGACCTCCGGGGATGCTAAATGTCCAAAGCATCTGCTTTAATGCATGTATTTCTTTGCGTGTGGTTTCCACCTTTTTGGTCACCAGCCCTTCACAGGAGATACAAACAAGAGGAGAGTTTAAAGGGTGTTTTTTTTTGGGAGGGGGTCTTCTCTGCCCATTTTTCCAAGATGAGATGTGACAGTGGATCAAGGTATAAGACTGCATTTAGGGACTAATTTTCTATTATTTTGGAACATAGTTTGAGGATTTGGATGGAATGGATGTAAAGGAAGGGTGATTTTTAACAATTTTGAACTTTCTCATCCTTTGTTTTTTGTTGAATAGCTATCTTTTGGTGGTGAGGGGAGAGGTGTGTGAAGGTGAACTAGTAAAAAAAGAAATTAGCAGCAGCAAAGTGGAAGAATAAAATGTTCAATGAAGCCATACGTTCTTAACATTGATGGAAAAGTACTGCATAACACCTGAAATAAAACCACATCAGGTACCACAATTTCTAGAAATCTTAAATTAAAAAAAAAGAGATACACTTGGAATTTTTTTATTCTATTGCTCAATCGACACATTATCTGATTCTACATGAGACACAAATGACTAAAACGTTTCTGTCTTCTAGTCATATTTAATCATTCCATCTGTGACACTGCCATTTATTGTACAGTCTTACACGAAATTTCAACTAAGAGCATAGGTCTTTAAAACAATCCTTTTAATCCAATTTTCTGTTTTATTTTAAGTGAGCAAGTTGTATCTACTCAAATTTTAAATTGATTTTTAGGACTCCTGATTCAAGCTTAGTTAGATGCCTTGTAAGAATCCATGCTGTGACTCTGAGAGTGTACCAAATTTTTACATGCTAATCCTGCATTCATTTTGAAGGTGGCATCATCATTAAACTCCTCATCAGGTCTTAATTGTGTACCTGCTATGTATAGAGGTGTGTTCTGTTGTTGGCTGAGACTGAATTCTAAGGTGAGGACAAACCAAGGCATAGAGAATATTCATGTTTAGACTACTTGGAACTTGAAGAAATGGAAATCTGTCCCATAGTGGAAATTCAATAAAAACATCTATTTGGTTAAATGTCTTGGTTTAATCTGTAACTTTTGTAGCACAGTAGAGTGAAGAGAGTTTAATATACCTGTGCAGCCAGGAAAGAGTTCAAGGAAAAATGACACTTTAAGGTTGGACAAAGTGTTTGTTTGTTTTTAAAATATATCTGGCCCTAGCCGGCTTGTCTCAGTGGATAGAGCGTCGGTCTGTGGACTGAGGGGTCCCGGGTTCGATTCCAGCCAAGGGCACATGCCTGGGTTGTGGGCTCAATCCCTGGTAGGGGATGTAAATATGTTTTTTAAAAATAATAAAATAAAATATATTTGTATTAACTTCAGAGAGGGAGAGAGAGGGAGAGAGAGAGAAACATCAATGATGAGAGAGAATCATTGATCACCTGCCTCCTGCACACACACACTACCCCCCTACCCCCCACCCCCCACCCCCCCCCCCCCCGGATTGAATCCAAAGCCCAGGCATGTGCCCTGACCTGGCATTGAACCATGACCTCCTGGTTCATAGATAGATGCTCAACCACTGAGACACACTAGCTGGGCACTAAACCTGTTTTATTTGGAAAAGTAATGTGATGAGTACTGTGCCATGATATACCCTAGAAAATCAGGTTTTGATTATGTAAAAATTATAGCTCTCACTTTTATATATAGTGTTTCTGTGTATATTTAGATAAATATATGTATCTGTTGTACTTCTTTTATTCGTCTCTGAAATTTGTTGGGAAATCATCTATTTGAAGGGAAAATCTTCCAGAGTATTCTGTTGCTTTTTACTGCCCCCTTCTGCTACTTGAATTTTATCAACTTCTTTTTCTCTATGACACTGTGAAGATAACTAGGTAGATCTTATGTCTGACATTATAATGTTCTTAAAAGGCTACATGTGTGGTGCTCATTTTAGATTTAACTTTCATGAATAGGCTGAAAAGGAATAAAATCGTTATTAATAGAAGTGATAAGCCATTCCTATAAGGTAAAAGAAAATTGACAAAAGACTCTCACTACCCAAAATTCCAAATGAGCTAACATCTTTAAGAAAGACATTTTTTTATTGCTCTTATGGAGTGCTGCCACTCAGACAGGGAAGGATGCTTACATCCATCATCTGGGGTAAGGAGTTTCTTTCCATTTCCCTCCCTTCTACTTTGGTTGATTTGGGGACTCACTCAGAGAGAGTTGAGACTGCCCATAGTTGTTTTCATTCATGGCATCCTGGCTGGAAAAAGAGCTTTGTCATCTTGCATCAGCATTATTCTTAAAAGATATTTTACCAAGCTTATGCCACAGAGTATGTCTGTTCCTTGAAGGGTAGAAATGCTACTTATAAAGGACTATTTTAGTCCTTTAGTAAGTCTTGGTTATGTACCCAGTCCTGGCTACACAAGAAAAATTTTAAGGCTATAAATAAAGAAGAAATATATAAATTTAAGAAGATATCCTTGTCATATAAAACAATAAAGAAGTACCAAATAGGTTGGGATCCAGGCCAGCTTCACGCACACGCGCCCCCAGCCCACGCGCCCCTCGTGAGGCGTCCCCTCCCCCTCTTCCTCCTCCTCCCCCTCTCCCTCCTCCTCCTCCTCCCCCTCCCCCGCCCACACACCCGGCTCGTCATCCCCGGGCCCGTGAAAAACCCGCTCGGGGGCCACCGGAAGCCGCCTGCCCGCGGAATGCGGGGTGGAAGGACGCCCAGGGACCAGGGCGTGGGGGGCCCCGTGGGCGGAGGAGTCGCCGGGGGAGAGCGGCCGTGGTCAGAGGGGGACCCCGCTGGGAGCTGAAGCTGAGAGAAAGCAGAGTCCGCGCCCGGGGCTCCTGCGCGGATGCGCGAGCAGCCGGAGGGCCGGCTGGGCGGAGGGCGGGTGTGGGAGGGAGGAGTCCCTCTGCGGAGCGGCCCGGTGGCCCCAGGCGGCGGTCACCCCGGAACCAGGCCGGCGCTTGGCTCCAGCCCTCGGCTCCATTGCGGTCAGGCACATGCCGGTTGCAGCTGGATCCCCATGGAGGCGGGCAGGGGCCCATCCAGGATTCTCTGTCATCATCGATGTCTCTCTCCTTCTCCCTCCCTCTCTGAAAGCAATAAAATATATTTAAAAAGTAAACCATGGCCGAAACCGGTTTGGCTCAGTGGATAGAGCCTTGGCCTGCGGACTGAAAGGTCCCAGGTTCGATTCCGGGCAAGGGCATGTACCTGGGTTGCGGGCACATCCCCAGTAGGAGGTGTGCAGGAGGCAGCTGATCGATGTTTCTCTCTCATCGATGTTTCTGACTCTCTATCTCTCTCCCTTCCTCTCTGTAAAAAATCAATAAAATATTTTTTTAAAAAAAGTAAACCATGAAGCAGGCAGGGTCCCCGTGAGGGAGGTGGGAAAAGAAAAAGTAGCCCTAGCAGGTTTGGCTCCGTGGATAGAGCGTCAGCATGTACCTTGGTTGCGGCACATCCCCAGTGGGGAGTGTGCAGGAGGCAGCTGATCGATGTTTCTCTCTCATTGATGTTTCTAACTCTCTCTCTCCCTTCCTCTCTGTAAAAAAATCAATAAAATATATATTTTTTAAAAAGTACCAAATAATCTGCATTTATGTTTTATAAAACACTGATCATCTTTCTCTTTCTCAAATCAATTCCCTGATAGATTTTTCTTTTCTTTTTAGAAAATTATATTTTTATTGGTTTCAGAGACAAAGGGAGAGGGAGAGAGAGAGAGAAACATCAATGATGAAAGAGAATCATTGATCAGCTTCCTTCTGCAGGACCCGCACTGGGGATCGAGCCCACAACCCAGGAATGTGCCCTGCCGAGAATTGAATCCTGATCTCCTGGTTCATAGGTTGACACTCAAGCACTGAGCCACACCGGCCAGGGAGATTCTTCTTTTTCACGGTTGTATATCATAACTACTCAGATGAGCTAGGA